CCATATATATTCTCAATTCTTTCACAGTATATTAGCCAATCAGTTTTGTAGGTCAAAGTTTTAGTTTTCTAATTTTGATTGGCTAGTTTTATCTCATTTTCTATTGGCTAAGTAGCACTTTTATATGATATATGCCTTTTTTTATGTATCACATTTATGGTTCCTTAAAATATTGGGAAAATACTGTACCGCGTTTGCTATTGACACAGATTTATTGATCTACTTCGAATTGATATTCTTTTCCTGAAATTAATCAATTAACGCACACTACTTTAGTCGTAGTCAAAGGTGTATATTAATGGCTCTCTGAAACTTGAAATTCTGAACCTACAAACCTCCTTATTGTCTTGGTTTTCATCGCCTATTAGATAAAATCATAACTATTCATCATACATTGGAAATTACGTAGTCATTTATTTAGCTCATGTGTGTAGATTGAGTGTTCTGATGATCAGTATTTTAAATCTGTATAACGATTTAAATCAATTACGAATCAGGAATAAACGAGCTATGATGATTGTAGACTTCCAATGAACAATTGTGTATGATTATCGTGTGAATGGAGTCTGTAATCGTTCATATTTCATCATCCCAGTTCCAAGGTATGTAATATCATTTACAATCTAATCTATTCACAAAGAGCAAGCTATTGTCTTTACAAATATACTCACTCAGGTATAGATTTGATCATCATGGTCATTCTTTATCTGCTATAGTGAAGCTGTATTATAAAAAAATTTGTACTCAAGTTTCTACGTCACTCTCTGTGTTCTGTAAGAATTACATGACTACTCTGATCGAAGTAAATGAGACAAGATTCGAAAATGTGGTTGTGAATATCGTAAACAAAAGGATTAAGCTTAGTTTAGACCATCAATCTCTAACGTTTCTTTTCTGTAAGCATTTTGCAACGAAGTCAGGAGAACAGAAATCGGTTTAACCTTCTCCAACCAACACACGCAATGTTGAATTAAGAAATCTTTGGTGATTAATAGACACTGAGTCTCATCATTGGTTTGAAATACAAGCCCCAGTCGCGAAATCTAAAGATCCTGATTCCAGTCTTTTGTGGGAAGGTAGTACGCGATCACTCTTAATAAATCCCTGTTGGGAAGAAATAATTGTCATTATCTCTTGGTTTGTAATGATTGTTTGACTAAAGCCAATCCGTAATGTAAAATATCCAATGAACAATCTCGACAGATCTCTTGCAATAATGATCTTGAAATATTGAACTATTATGCAGCACAAGAGTTTTTTTCTTAAAGCAAGTTTTATAAGAAAAGTTACACACATACACATGCCTGTTTTAAACTTCACTAGTTTGCATTGAATTTATATTTTATCCTTCTGTTGTATTAAAAAGTGTAAACATTTATCCTTCGCGTTAGCTCCTTTGTCATATGTTCACTGGTTTCTTTATTAATCGTGACTTACCTGAACACACATTGATTATAGTAGAAATAGAAGTCGATTTTTAAGTTATTCTTTGTATTCTTTTTTGCAAGAGTGAAATCATACTTTAATTATTTTGTCATTAAAGTAAGACTGAAGAAATGACAACTCTTGAATCTATTTATTGAGCTATTATTATTTGTACTCATGTTTCATAATCACTAGGTAACTGGACCATTATGTTTTCATCTTCCGTTTATTGTAAACTCCTATTTGAACCATTAACTATTAATGTTCGTCACATTATTCCGAAATCATTCCTAATCGGGTAGTTATCGCATGGCTGATTCATTGATATTTTTAGTCTGTTTTTGTGTACAACGGTGATTTTCAATTTTCTGATATATTCCTGTATATCTGTAAAGAAGCCCACGTGTACTTAGAATAATAATAATAATAGATACTCAAACACTCTGTCTTGGATTTATTCACAAATGAAGATATCAAATTTCAGTGTTACACGATGAATTTCTCCGAGTTTTTGAAGATTTCAAAGAATTTGAACCACACTATGTTCCATATTCTCTTGATATTCATGGAAGCTTACGATTACCATCAGATGTAAATAATAAATATACTATCTGATAAAAGCTTAAATGATTTATTTTTGTATAAATTACAAAGTTGGAGATGTATATATGACGGTAATTCGTTGTTTGTTAACTCACCGTCATCAAATCTAAAACTGGTGTGTTCTTTTTTGATATGATGGTGTTATTAATTGGTGTCATTACATGACGAGTTCCGTATTATCGGATTTCGATGACACCATCTTAACTTTGATTAGTCCATGATGAGATACACATCTACAAAGAATGCAAATAATGTTTATAGCTTGAACGGTTGAGTCGAAACGTATTAAAGCTGATACTATGACAGTCAGTCGACTGACTTTCTGCATTATCATACAACATATAGATTGTACACGATAATCAATACTTATCATTCCCATTTTATTTTCATGCATGAATGAGTTTCTATATATATTATCTGTTATAATTAAACATTTCCTGGATTAATCACGTTAGTTAAATTACTCCACTTATACTACTATTACCACTGCTATCTATACTACTTATATACTTTGCTTGATTAAACGTTTATTTCTCATTTTCTATGTTGTATATTTGCTGATAGTGATTCATGTAGACCATCTCATTAGTATTCATCTTTCTCCACTGATTAATCGATATATCCTGTGATTTTATATTTTCTATCTTCATTTAACGCATATAAATACAAATGCATAGTTTAAATGAGTTATGTTGCATTATATTTATAAATATGGTAAATTTCTGATTTAGTCATATGTTCTCTCTTCATGTGTGTATACACTACAGTTCACTGATATATCAGTACTTAAAGTTTATTTAAATTATTATCTCTTGTGATGATGATATCATTAAACTATTTATTTAAACACATAAACATTGGTACAAAGAGGCACCAGGATGAACTTAATTTGTGTATGGACTATGATACTGCCCGGGTGCCCGAACTGAAATAGGTGGTTCGCTGAGGGAGCCACATCCAGAGCCTTCGACTTAAAGGTCTGATCCAAAAGGCGGTGGGGCAACGTCAGGTGACGCAGTCCCCATTATAGTCGGTGACCAACAATATGTTCATAAGCAATTTGTTCCTTCAGGATATTGAAGCCTATGTGTACCATTGGTTTGGAATGATGGTTTTCCAACTCCCCTATGTGGACTCTCCGTATCTACCAACCCGATTAATGCTCTGAACATTCGGTTTTCGTGCTCTTAATTTCGCAAACAACACCCGTGGTGTGAGAATGTAGTGAGTAAGACTTCCCTGGTAGTGATTGTATGCATGTGACCATGTGAGAGCGTTCGGAGGGGGAGGAGAACTGACTTTCCACACTCTCAGCCGTACCAGGGCATTTGGAGGCATATCATTAAGTTAGTGAAATGTGAAGTTAGTCTAAATCTAATTACAAGTATAATTGATGTAAACACATCTAGTTCTGTATGCCAATGTTTAAACAGTGAGTATCAGTAATGGTTACTCCACTGAATTCAATTAAACGAAGTTGGAGACATTTAATCATCGTTTTCTAACCTATTGGTTTAAAGGCATTTTACTCATCATGAAACATGAATGTTTTGTAGCTTTCGATGAATGAGTTAATTACAACTAGCTTTGGGTGTGATATAAATAACGTAGTCAATCGAAACCAAATAACCAACCCTTGTTATCAGCAATTGTTGTCGTAAGCAATATGTTTTTCTGTGTGCGTCTGCGTGTGTGGGAATGCTGATTTCGATGATTCGTCAAGTAATAATAATACAATTACGTCGTCGTAAATCTATTCTTCTGTTTTCGTATAAATAAATTAACTTATTTTTCTAAGTAGAGATTTCGAACCAGGCTCTCGGTAAGAGAGAGAGAGATAGTAGTGATACTCAGTTTTTCTTCAGATTGAAATAGTTAGAAATGAGTTCGAACCTATGGTTTACTGACTGAAAGTCGATTACTTTCACGGCTAGGCCACTGCTGCTAATTTTGCATCTTTAGAATTCTATATTCTATTATATCTAGTTATATCGCATTTGTTTTCTTTTGACTATATTCGATCAACAGTGTACTAGATTTTTTTAAAAGTCTTTCTCATACTTTCTAGAAATAAAGTGACCTGATTAGATACATCAATAAACTAGAAAACACATGTCCTACAATTCTTCAATTGTACATCATAGTTACTAATGTTGTGTTGGTTAATGTTTATGTGTAGTTGCACATAAATGAGTTTTTTCTGCATAGTTTCTAGTATTTGTTTGTGTAACTCAGTTATGGTGTGCTGTTTGGTTAATTATAATAACTTTTAAAAAAAATATATTTTTCATGTCAACTAATTAACTATAATACTATTTTTGTCTATCACTCTAACATCGTAGTTTCGCATAATTCGAGTTGTGTTTCATTCTTTTCATCTCGTTAAGGCGCATATATTTGTGTAATTTTTTTGTTATACACTGCATTCCCCCCTCCTTGGTTTATGTAAAGAGGTTGCTGTGGCTATCTAATTACTACTTTTTTTTAATGTTTCATCTAACCTAATCAGTACATACAAGATATATGTATATGCATGTTTTGCATGGTTCTTTTTTAAATTACTGTAAGCAAATATAAGTAGTATAAAATGTTTGAGCAAATTAAACATAAAATGACTCGTGCACCTTGCCTTCGAAACACACCTTTCGTATGTTTGAGAGCTAGGGTGGATATCCTACTGACCGAGTATAACCAAGCACAATTGATTTGGTGTCATTGATCTAGTAGCAGTAACTACTGAGTCTTCATCATTATAAAACAAACAGAGTTGACGATTAAGTACAATGGTATTTCATTTAAATCTTGAACCGATCACTGTTAGACCATTACATTTGTTGGCCTAAAAAATTTCAAGATCATGATTCTAACTCAAAAAAATAATTTGGTTGTTTTTGCGCATATTGTACTTATATGTGTGGAATTTTCACCTTTTCTTTATAATCTTCACTTGTCCTCTTATCCCTATTTTTTAGATCCAGAGGAAATAGACATCGAGTCTCAGCTAGATCAACCGCCAATTCTAAGAAATCGAAAGCAAAATACTAGTTTCCGTCATGCCGTTGATCGTTCATTTTACCCTACTTCTACTACCACTACTACTGCTGCTGGTACTACTACCGCATACTATAATTCATTTGATACAAATGCTTCCCCATCATCTTCTGCTCCCCCCATACCACCACATCGTCCGCGTAGTGAAAGCGGCACTCGTGACAAGTTGTCTAATAATCCTCAGCATAAAAATTCCAGCAAAACAAAAAACTCCGATCCCTTACCTGAAAAATCCACAGGTTCTATTTTATTCTCTTCTTCTCCTTCAGTCTACAAAACAATTGATAAACTTGAACGTGCTCATTCGAAATCTCGTCCAGAAATTCATTCAAATAATTCTGTCTTAGTCAAACATTCAAAGTCATCGTCACATTCCATTTCAAATAATAATCCCCCTACTGAACAAAAACACAGTAAAAGTGGACGAATAAGTTTGAAAAATCTCTTCAGGTAAGTGACCAACAAATATTCTCCTAGTTTAGCCATTTTATCGTTTTTTATCAACTAATCGATGCACAGTAGAAAGTCATTTATGGGATTGTAGAAACCTTCGAAACATTTTTCGTGTAGAATGAGACCATCGAGTGGACAATTCTGAAGTTTTAAGCGCAGTGTACTAAGTAAAGAAAATAAATTAGTTGATCTCTTCTCATCAGATGCTCTTATGACAGGAAAAATAGATCTCTATCCTTCCTTTTATGGGTAAACAGTGAGCACTGCGTCAATCTGGGGAATACTTTCTCCGATATACACGACGTGCAGAATAGTTTAACTGAAGATACAAGGTTCTGCCTTCTCGTGATCAACTTGAAGAAACCTGAAGTATTATGTATTCATGTAAGAGGTTTATTCAGTTGCCCTTGTTCTAATACGATCTATAAATAGACTCTCGTGACATTACCAGCCTTTATTAATTGTTTCAGCTACATATTACAAACTCTACTTTCAACTTTCTATTTATCTCCGTCCAATTCCCATCAACTTCTTTTAAAATTCATATAATATTTTTAAGGTTGGCATAAAGTTATCTCTTCTTCGACCTTTAAACTTTACCAGTCGCATATTTTCTAAGATCTCATGTCATGATCTGATATGTGGCCAGTGAATGTATGATGTGATTGACCAGTGAGTGAACTTAGGTAGACAGATACTCAACTTACTTCCTAATAGGTATGTGATTTGCTTGCTATTATTAATTTCTACTCTGGACTTCCTGCGTGTAGACTGCTTCCAATTGTGTCACATAAAGCTTTGTCTAGCCCTTACTCTAGTTTACTGCTTTTTGGCCATGAATCGTATGTCTGGTATAAATGGATCCCAGTCTTATGTATAACATATCAATAGAGTATTTAGTCTGGTGGCAATCTCGGCCGTCAAATGTCCTGGTACGGCCGAGAGTGGGGAGAGTCAGCTCTCCCTTTCGAAATACAACAACAGTCAAAGAAGTTTTACTCACGAGTGTTGTTTACGAAACTGAGAGGTCGAAAATCGAATATTCGGAGCTTGAGCCGAGTTGGTGGATACGGAAGATCCACTCAGGAACGTTGGAAAACCCTGATTTCAAACAAATGGTGCACATGGGCTCCAGTATCCTGAGGGTACAGATGACGTATGAACATATTGTTGGTCACCGACGACCAAGGGACTACGTCTCCTAACGTTGGTCCACTGCCTTATTGATTAGGCCTGTAGATCAAAGGCTTGGGGAATGTCTCCCTAAGACAAAGTGGATGATTTGTGTAATGCACGTATATTTTAATGCCTCCTTGTACAAATGTTTATGTGTTTAAAGGAAGAAATTATTTGTTACCACTTATTAATTAGGATTTCATCCGGAAAAAATCTAGGTCCGAATTAATTTGTTGTACTTAGTTACTATGCGTGCTACTCCTCGTGGACGAGCATCGGCTGCCCACTGGCACTCGCCATCCAATCCTGTTCTGGGCACTCCTTTCCAGCTAACTCCAGTTGTTATTCATACTTTACATATCTGCTTCTCTTTCCCGACGTAATGTGTTCCTTGGCCTTCCTCTTTCCCTCTTCCCTTCAGGATTCGAAGTTAGGGCTTGCCTCGTGATGTAGTTCGATGGTTTCCGTAATGTATGTCCTATCCATTTTCATCGTCTTTTCCTAATTTCCTCTTCAATTGGAATCTGGTTCGTCCTCTCCCGTAATAGGCTGTTGCTGATGGTATCAAGTCAACGGAAATTGAGTATCTTGTGTAGACAACTGTTTATAAATACTCGTACCTTCTTGATGATGGTTGTAGTAGTTGTCCGAATTTCAGCTCCGTAAAGTAGAATTGTGTTGACGTTCATATTGAAGATTGTAACTTTGATATTAATTGACAGATAGTTGTTTTGAGTTCCATATGTTCTTCAATTGTAGCTTATCATTAATATTTGTTAAAATTTTCATTCAAACAACCATCCATAAATAGAGATTGTTTGATCTTTCTTTTTCTTTTTTTTCATATTGCATTTTGTAATTTGATAGAATTGGTAATTCTAAAACTGAATCTGAATTGAATGGTGACTATTTATTACATAATTCTAATCAATCTAAACCAATATCAGAGACACCAACTGTTCTGTCCAAAAAACAGTTGCGACGCCTTTCAGTTCCAGAATATCAATTTACTAGTAATCTCTTAACATCAACAAAATTAATCGATAAAATTCATGAAAAAAACAGTTATAATAATCCTACTTCTACCACTACCACAACTTCTACTATTCCATCTGTTCAGCAACTCTTTAATCGTTCATCTAGTCAGTCAAAATTATCTAACACTACTCATTATATGAATTCTAATGTAATTTGTAATGATTCTATGTACAAAACAATATCACCGAATATAATGAATAATAATAATCATAATAATTACAAGACTATTTCTGTAAATCATCCATACTGTCCTCCACCTGATATTAGTCCACCTCCGCTACCACCTCGTGTCAGTTATACAACACCACCTATATTAACAATGAAATCGAATAATTCCAAAATGATTAAATATCGTCCACTGCCAGAAGAGCGATCTAATAATGATCCTCGAATTATTGATGAGACAAGACAGAATAGACGCAAAAAATCATCATACTCAATGACCACATCTGTTATCTCATCCCATTCAACTACTCATCAATCAAAATCATCTCCAAAAATCACTTCAACAGCTTCGTCTCCGACTTATTGCTTAGCATTGAACACTGTTGATCCAACCGTATTATCAACAAGTATTGAACAATCGAATTTTGGTCATGACGACAATAACGCATTAGTAACTAACAACAATTCTCGTAGTCGTTGTCGCCGTCATCATCATCGTTCTGAACATCATAAAAATTCTAACCAACAGGATGGTATTCTCTCCGAAAGCTCCACTAAATCCCAGGTTTGTAAAAAAATGTTTTTTTTTAGAAAATGAAATTTGTAAAAGTTTATCTTCGAATTGAGGAAGATTTTTAAATCATGATGAAAATTACTTCAATCATATATTGATATCATCATATCTTTGATGAAGTCGTGGATATTAACTTTTTTTGGAGTTGATTATAAACGAAATGATATCAATTTCTTTAAATGCACGAGAGCAATTATCACTTTTCAGTGACCCACATGGTAGGAAGGCACTTCTTCTTGGTAGGGGTAGATGATTTCAATGACTTGGGATCGTAACTCCAATGCTTATAGGACAACTGTTAGAGGACAGTCACATGCGTTTTTAAATTTATCAGCACTGTGATTTCCAAATCTAATGACTTGCAATAGGAATGTGTGGAGCAAGATGAGGAGTGTTGTTTTTATGTTCGATCTTTTTCTCTTTTGGAAACATGTCACTGGTGTCACACTCTCATCCGTTTGGTAGCTCGACCTCGTCTTCAGACCATGAGTTTTAATCCTTACCACGCTATCCAACCAACTTGCTGGGATGGTAGATCCTAACAAAACAAATGTTTCAGCCAATATGGGTCATTACAATAAACAAACTCGACCACATTGTCAAGATAACAACTACGGTTGCGTTGAGTAGTTCCAAACTACGATGAAACATCTCTTCAGTAATGGTCCTATGATGTAAACTGTTTCCAAAAAGCTATGATTAAATACTATCCGTAACCAGAATTACCTGATTAATTGTATTCAGAGACTTATTATGATGTACTCTCACTATTGAATTGTGTAACATTTTAATTCTTTTAACATCAGTGATTATCCCAGTTATCATTATTTAGATTGTTCTTTTTGAGTATCAAATGAATCTTTGCAACGAAATAATATAAAGAAGTTCCAGTCAAGAACAGATTTTTCTTTCGATGACATCATTTACTTGTAGATTCGTATTACCTCTGTTAATGATGCTATAATTCTCTATTATTATCATCATCATCATCGACTAGTATATTTAAAAATACAAATGTATAGCTATACTAGATGACTGTCATCACTGAAGTGCCTCTGATCACACAGGACCATGTACAACATAAGTAACCTGCTTTTTTTTCTTGGGATAACAGGATAGCTCCTGACGGTCATCCTGGTCGGCATACATCAATAATGTTGTACACTTTGGTTTTTAGAAAAAGAAAATTTACATTTTTGACAAACAAACTTGTTACTAATATAGAAATCTAATATCGTAACTGTAACATTCATAAATCGAAATTTCTTGCCTGTATTTTCTAATATTTCAGACACCTGCTATTTACATGAATTCTAAGCAGATAAGTAAAGATTATAAAAAAACGAATCCATCTCCTCATCGTTCACGTTCAACACATGCTCGTCTATCATTGAATAAAAGTCAACATAATAATCATGGTAATATAACAACAACAACAACAACAAACACAGTAGCAACAATAATGTCAACAATGAATTCACCTGAATTCGTTCACTATTATCAAGCACCAGTAATTTCTAGTCATTCAGCTATGTCAACTCCTCGTCGTCATCGTCGTTTACAAGATGGTCGAAAATCAGAATATCATATCAATAATAGGTAATGCGAATATAAATTATAATGAGTCAGTTATATAGATTTTACTAAAATAACTATTGAAAGATATGAAGCACTGAACAACAGTTTCATTTTATTATATGGACTCTTCAACAGCAGTGCACATCCAGGACCAAATTTGAGATCGTATCCAGGTTTATCGACAAATGCTTAACGATTGCTGTCGTATTTTTGAGATTCGCTTAATAGTGAGTAGATCATCTCACTCATGCTTCACGTTGACGACTTCAATTTTGTGCATGTTTGCTGTTTGTTTTAAATTGTATTCTCTTTCTAAATAATGAATCCCAACCGTTTAAACTATAAACCAATGTAGATGAAATAAGTAAATCTTTGAAACTGATTGGTCACTGAGTAGTAGGTGAGTAATGCTGTTCTTCCTTAGTCGTTATTGTGTGCGCTTATGATTATTGCATCGATCAGTTACGTAGTATGTGAGCAGTAAACTTAAAAGTCTCATCATCACCTATATTCTATTTTGATGTAAAGTATATGAAGGGAATTGACAGGAAGTTGTGACTAGATTTCCTAGATTTTGTATAAGTTGGGACAAGATAAATTACAGTTGTTGGGTCACTGAGATTGTGTTGGATTCGTCTTAGTTGATTTATATTGAATACTGTGTATGTTAATGTGTCGATTATTATACTAGTTGTTAAGGTCAGGAAAGTTGTTTGATGAACTTCCCGCTGTGCTGATGTAGTTCAGCAACCGATACACATATGTATCAGGTTGTATGTTGCTTGCTTATCACTGAACGGATGAATTACGTATAAGGATTAGTTTGTAGTGTTTATCTATGTGAGTGTGTGAAGCTGAACAGTTATCCAGTGTTCCCTAGATTTTTGGCTAGTACATTTTTTTAAATAATTGAGGTTATGTGTCAATTGAAGTCAGACCACCATGAAAAGCCTGGAAGCCCTGGACGTCCTATTGTGGGACTCTTCAGCAGTGCACATCCACGATCCCATCTCGCGATATTCGAACCCAGGACTAACAGGTCTAGTGCGCGAACACTTAACCTCTAGACCACTGAGCCGGCGTCCAACGGTGTTAATGCTTGTGTTCTGTCTTGTGGGGTACCGTAGATTGAAGTGTTTGGTCGCGCATGCCACTTCAATTATCTTGGAATCCTAATGGGTTGGTTGTTAATGTTTGACGTCTTCAAATAATTGCTAATTTCTCCTGGAACTATCGGATAAAATTTGTTAATCCTAAACGTAGGATGAGAAATTAGTTGACAAATATTGAATTTTCACCTATTACAGTGGTTTTGGCCCTCATGATGTATATTCTACTTGCAAGCACGTTTGCTGGTGTAAGATTATGTTGGAATAAAGTTAGGGGCGGTTAAATTAATATATAACATCAGTTTAGAAGACTACTGAATATTGGCCTGGACCGGAAATACGTGGTCAAGATTGTAACCAACAGTCAATAATGTTAGTTGAGATTGCACATACATACTAGGTTCTACCTTATTTAGTATCGACTGACTGAGGCACTTTATTATCCAGGAATAGTATATATATATTAAACAAATTTTCTATTCCATTTTGTATTTCTGTACAGAAAACAACAAATCACTATGCAAGAGGCATCATTAATTGTCTCATTTCCAATGGATAAATTAATTACTCCGAAACATTCATCAATCCATCATCAACATTGATGTGTTATCCAACATGAACTTACTTAATATTTCACTTGTGCAACTATTATTTCCGGTTTTGTGAATTGTCAAGATATGATCTATCTATTTACTTACTTGAAAAATACCCCCTCCCACACACACACCTCCTGGTAATTATTTTGATACGTTGACTATTTATAATTTTCTTTCAATAATACTGTTAGATTCAGTCTTCATTGTAAAACATACATATCAGCGGCTAAAATCTCAAGAATTCATCAATTTTTTTGTGTAGAATATGATACAATTTCGTTTCACTGTTGTTGTTTTCCTGTGTGTGTGTGTGTGTGTCCTCTTCTTGATCCTGATCTGGAAAATGTGCCTTAAACTTTTATAATTAAATTTGTGTCTATTTCGATAAGTGTTGTTGTTGTAGTTGTTATTGTCTCTGTCGTTATGCCTAGTTCGTAGTGGATTATCACAACCAGCGATATCATTTCGCATATATTCTGTCTTATTTTTATAAGCATACAATTACATATCATTATTATTATTATTATCAACCAGACTATTTTACTTATGATTACCTCTCTATGCTCCGTCGAAAAATTTTGGAATTTGAAATTGTCCATTGTATTCTCTAGTTCTACTCTCTCTCTCTCTCTCTCATCCTGTATTGGTTGGTTTGTGTTGTGTGTGTGTGTAGTAAATTCTTGATCTCAAGTAACAAAATCATGCCTTTTATTCTGTTTTTCTCAAATGATAATAAAAATGTGAGAACATTTTTGTATTTTGAATCATTGTTCCTTACACACACACACACACACACACAATCTCTCCCCCTTCCTTTAATATACATATACATATCATCATGATTATGTAATAAGAATAATAGTGTGTACAAATTGTTTTGTTTTTTTAATGTGTATTTACTTTTGATACTTTACAATTTATCTTAATTTACTATCACTAGTTCCATCATGTTAAATTTTCACCACCACCACCACAACAATAATAATAATAAGAAGTCGTAACCAGTGTCATGTTTGAGGTGAACATATCCTTTTCAATTTAACGTTTTCTAATATCTTCACATTCATTATTATTGATCCATATATTATCATCATCATCCTATTGTTGCCATGAGTATTAGATGATAGTGTTCAGTAATAGATGATATATATATATATATTCTATATCTTTAATATTTCACATTTTTGCTGTTGTTGTTATTGTTCCTTGATATCTATTATCAAATGGCTTCTTTATTGTCAAACTATTTGAACGATTTCATAGCATTTATTTCCTTACTTTGAGTAATTATTGCATCGAGTTTCGTTAATGCTGAATACAAATAAATGAGGCATCTCTTCTCTCTCTCTCTATGTGTGTGTGTGTAATGTCTATTCGTCAATAGTTCTTTTCATTGTATATTGACAAATATCAATAGTCTATTCATAGTTAGTAGTATAGTGTTGAGTATTTTAATCCTATTGATTCTATCATCATTATTTGTATTGGTCAAATGGTGTGAAAAAATAACCTTGTGAATCTTTGTTTTTGTTTTTTTTCCCTCTCAAATGTAAGTATCCACCTTATGATCGATCTCCCTGTTTCGTTCCATGAACCAAATCGATTCTTCCTTCTCTTTTCTTTTCTATACATATGTATATGTACACTGACCCATTTGAATTGTTCTTTTGCCAGTTGGATCATATTTATTTTTTTTCCTGATTACTTTATTTGATTTGCTCTTCAATTGTTGAGTAACTTTTTCTTTTGTGTGTGCGTGTTACCTTGTCAACTTGTGGTATTTTTTCTCTTTGCTGTTTTGTTAATTTGTCTACTATTTAAAAAAACACAACTATGAATAGTAATTGAATAAAAAAGCTTTGAGTTCTTCCTATTTTTTTTGTTTTTAGTGTTGAGGATATACAGTTGTCAATAGTTGGTTGTCAAAATATCTACGGTAACCGTCGTGTGCTTCACCGATCCTTAATATAATTTTGGGAAGGTGCAATTTGTTAAATTGATCAAGTTAAAAGAGATAGCTACTATCGATTGTTGATATTAGATGGAGACCAAACTACATTACGTATTGTTTGAAGTTGAAAATATGAATCCATGGTCACAAGTTATAGAACGTTATGCATTCACTTACTTGTAGGGTCATACATCAGAATAATCTCTTATTATAACGAAAAAGCTATTAGGTATTTTTGTACTTAATTAATGAACCATATTTTCAAACGGTATGCGTTTGAAAAAGATTTAATTCTGTTAAGAGAATTTAGGCTTAGGTTACATAGTGATTGGCACTGATCAGTAGAGCGTATTTGCGATATTGAGATTTGAACCCGTCACCCAAAACATTATCACTGACCTACTCGGGATGCGACCGACCTCCCATAGGACTGCTGATTATATGAATAAATACATATATGTATTGACTACGAATTAGTAACCTAACTTATGAATGGATAGTCGATCAATCGAAACTACTGACTAATCAATGATTATCGTCTTTTTTTCAAATATCGAATGTTGATTGTCTCATAGTTCACAAGAAACTTGGATAAGTTCCCAAAGAATTGGATTTTTTAACTGTTGAATAGTGTAAAAAAGTAAAGATGATAATTCAGCACTGTAAAGTAATAAACGATCTTGTCTTTGAATTCCTTCGAACTGAATTAACTAAAGAGTAATTGAATGTTTAAATTCTTCTGAAGTCTGTATTCATCATTATTACTGTCACATGTTTAAAGGTACAGATTCTCAATAAGGAATTTTAAGGCATCCTTTACATTTATGTTTCACTCAAACTACTAATAATAAAAAAATACTGGTTAATATCTTCATAAACTGGTTTTGATTTTACGTCAGAAGTTCATTTAGATGACGGTTTATATAGCGTTTTTGTTTCCATATAAAAATAAACTACCCAGAAGTCTACGACTTTACGGAAGGAAATAATTCCAAAGTGAGTTATATGAAGAATTTGTGTCATAAAGGGAAATTAACCTTTCATATATACAAATTAAAAATGGGAATCTATCTAAATTTACAAATAGTTGTGCAATCGCTTAAGATTTAATAGATGAAGACTTTAAGAATTTAAATAAGTCTGCATCAGTCATCCATAATCATTATAGAACTTGACATATATGTGCATCCAATCAAGCCGATATATCGCATCAACATATAAGATGAAACTATCAAGATTAATGACATAGTAGTAGTAGCAACAGTATCGGTAAGAGTAAAAGACAACAGGCATAAACGAGATGATTCTCGAAAATATGAATTTATGAAATAAAAAAGTATAAGATCTAAGGGAAGAAAAAGGGTGGATGTGTTTAGACCGATTTCGATTCACATCATCCGACATGTGTAACACTGGTAACGATAATCGTGCAGTAGGCAACCGGGTAGTTTAAAGCTACCTAGATGTCTCATTCTAAGAGTCAATGACTTCATGGACTGATGTCAAATTTTGGTAATAGTTCCGAGTTCTATATTAAGACTCCATATGATATAGAATATTCAACCTTCAGGGCTCCTGATGAATGTGTAACATTCAGACCACGCAGTCCGCATTATTTCTCAAGAGAAAAGTTTAGTTCTAGGGAGACATCGTGACTAGTAGAGTTTAATCATGTCTGACAGGTTGCATAATATGACGAATCAATTGAAGTTAGAAACATTGTCTAAAGGTTGGGAGCTCATCGTGTGATCCTGTCTTCGATCACCGATGGGGTTTTGGACACCCATTGTTGAGTAAGCCTATACCAGGACAAAGCAACTGTCTAGTTATTACTAATTTCGAATATCTGTATCATTAAGATCAGTGATCATGCACCAATCCAATCACAATTGACGGAGAAGATTTGAAAGATGTAAAAACCTTTACACATTTGGGCAGCATCATTGATGAACATGGTGGATCTGATGCAGATGTGAAAGTGTGGATCGGTAAAGCAACAGCAGTGTATTTACAACTGAAGGACATCTGGAACTCAAAACAACTGTCTATCAACCAACACCAAAGTCACAATTTTCAATACAAATATCAAGACAGTTCTACTGTATGGGGTGGAAACTTGGAGAACTACGAAAGCCATCATCCAGAAGATACAAGTGTTTATTAACAGTTGTCTACGCAAAATACATCAGATTCATTGGCCAGACATTATCAACAACAACCTACTGTGAGAGAGAACAAACCAGATCCCAGCGAAGGAAGAAATCAAGAAAGCGCTGGAAGTGGATAGGATACACAATGAGGAAAGCACCCAACTGTGTCATAAGACAAGCCCTCATATGGAATCTTTAAGGCTAAAGGAGGAGAGGAATAACAAAGAGCACATTACTCCGAGATATGAGATGAATGAACAAAAATTAGATAGAACTAGAAAAGAAGGGCCCAGGACAGAGTGGGTTGGAGAATGCTGGTCGGCGGCCTATGCTCCATTAGGAGTAACAGGCGTAAGTAAGTAAGATCAGTGATATAAATTAGAAAACTCAATCTCACAAACCATCCATAATTATATTAATCAATATAACTCGATTCTGGATCATATATTAACTCCATGAAGACCAATATGATCGATTATCTAACTACGCTTTCGAACATATGAAAAACAAGTGCTCTTGTACATAATATGTTCCATAATAAAAGTAAACTAGAGATATGGTTTTAATCAATAAAAATCGTATTAAAATAGACTAGAAATCATTTTTAACGCCTTAATTATTAACAATTGTTCATTAGACATATATTCACCATTCAATTGAATTAGTTTCTTAGATACAAATTGATCCAATATAAAATCCCATGAATTAGTTCGACATTCTGCACCATGAAGACATATAGTTAACTCTGATAAAAAATCTTTCAATAAAGGATCCATATTACCATTATGAGAATGATCAAATCCAATAGATTTAAAAACTCCACCACGACTACAATCTATGACAATGGAACCAAATTGATTAGTAAGATAAGATAGATTAGGTTCATAATTTTCTAATGCTAATTGAAAACTTGGTGAATTGCCATAAATCCATGACCATGTTTGTGACAATGTTAATGTTTGTTGAAAATCTTTCATTGAATGGATAAATTGATCTTCTTGACCTTCCAATATATTGGTTACAACAGGGTTAGATGTAATCAAATCATTCTATCGAGGGAAAAGTGTTCAAATAAGAAAAACAAAAAGCACAATGTTCTTGTTCAAAACGTTTGTATACTACTGAATCAAAATAGAGTTTAGTAACATTTTAAAGAATAACAGAAAAGAAATTTATATTTCGTTCTACATAAGAATTCCTAAGTCGATTTGATTATTGAACATCGAATATTGAGTTTTCATGAGATTACTAAGTTAAGAAAAGACAAAACCAAGAAAAGACTATCTCATCCATTATATTCTATACCGGATTTAGTATATTTCTGTGTGAAATGGTAATCACATTCGTTATGAAACTTCACTCTCTTTCAGTTGACCAGCGGTATCACTGAATACAGTATGGTCCTTACATGGATGCACTGAACTGTCACTTAGTAACCATGATTAACTAAAGACGATTCCATTGAGCACTATAGATAGATTTTCTGGTTAGCGTTTTTTTAGCGGGTTATTTTTCTACGGGATTGGGTCACCAACCCCATGTCCAAGCCTCCCCCTTTATCCGGGCTTGGGATCGGCAGTAGCCCCCGGAGGGACTCCAGGCAGAGTATAGATAGATAGACAAACGAAAAGGTGAAACATTGCACGTAGTAGCGAGTCAATTAGTATTCTTTTTTCTTACTCTAAAATGATACAGAAGTCAAGATGCAAAAAAGAAACGTCAGAAAATACGCAATAAATAAAATAAGGCATAGTAGCAGAAGTAGTAAGGTTTTCAATATTTAATGTAATACCCACAGAGATTGTCATTATTATCCAGATCTTCCAGAGATCCCTATTTACTTACATTATAATAATTTCAATTAAATAGCTTTATACTGATCAAGATAACATTTAATGAGCTGATGCGTTGACACCACACACCACTCTGGTTATGAATATTTTATCAAAAGACTACGAACTGATCTACGTCAGAAAACCATTGAAATGTGAAAGCACTGTGTGGTCTATTCGTCTTAATATAAGACTCCTCAACAGTCTGTATCTGTGATTCTAAGACCTGTAATCAAGCTCACAACCTTTGCTAACACTTAACCTCTAGATGATTGAGTAAAGATCTAATGGTATAGAAGTCTGACTTCAATTAATCCAACACCGTTGGATGTCGGCTTAGTGGTCTAGATGTTGAGCGTTTCGAGCGAGATACCGAAGTTTTTGGACTTGATTCTAAGTTACAGGGTCGTGAGTAAGTACCACTGAGGAGTCCCACATAAGGACAAAGCGGCCTTTCAGGAATTCCAGGTTTTCAATGATAGTCTAAACTTGATCGGTTCATAATTTCAATGAAAACCAATAACTATATCTAACAGACTCAGAGAAAAAATTATGATTCATAATCTACTTTATTGGGTTAAACGAATAATGAGGTTCACAAAATGGAGGTAATAACTAAAACTTTGCATATATGGACCAATGGAGTTCAACCGGGTCAGTTGTGAGGTAGTAACTCACTGATGACAATGGTGGATGTGTCGCTCAATTTCGTGGATAAGTTGAAGTTAAACATTAACACCGTTGGATGCCGGCCAGATCAGTGGTCTAGTTGGTTAAGAGCCTGGTGCGAGTCTGATAGGTCCCGGGTTCGAACCCCGCGAGGCGGGTTCGTGGATGCTCAGTGCTGAGGAGTCCCGCAACAGGACGGAACGGCCGTCCAGTGCTTCCAGGTTTTCTATGGTGGTCTAGCTTCAATTGACTCATGATCTCAACTGTTTAAATTACTAGAATCTCCACAAAACCCCTTCTGATATACGGATGTATTTACTTGGAATTGACTACAGTGATCTGGTATTGGTGAAAAAGTATTTTTTTAGATGTATGATTCAATTGTGTAGGTTTTAGTGTTTTTCTAAAGAATGTTATTGAATTCTACCGCTTAATAAGTCAATCAAACAGTTAGTTATAAACACTGTAGAACCATACACAAACATGAATCGACTCAAATTGCTACAATATATCAATATATCAATACAACAAGATGAAATTGTTAAGATAAGTACCAGAGTAGTAGTACTAGAAACACTACTGAAATAAGCAATAGTAAAAACTACTAGACAAAGGGATAACAATTAGACTAAATCTATTTATCATCGAAGAAGATTAGGTTTTATTAACAGTTAACTCAATATTTATTTTATTATTTTATTTAAACATATAAGCATTGGTACATGGAGGCACCAAACACATATGCACCACACAATGAACTTGATTCGTGTATGGGCTGTGATACCATTCGGGTGCCAAAACTGAAATAGGTGGTTTTCTTAGCGGGCCACATCCAGAGCCTTCAACCTAAAGATCTGATTCACAAGGCAGTGGAGCAATGTCACGAGATGCAGTCTCATGGTAGCCGGTGACCAATAATTAATTCATACGCCATTCATTCACTCAGGATCTTGGATCCCATGTGCATCATTGGTTTGGAATGAGGGTTTTCCAACGTCCCTGGGTGGATCCTCTATATCCACCAACCCTGTTGAAGCGCCGGAAATCCGCATTTCATCCTCTCAATTTCATGAACAACACCTACTTAGCGAGAAGGCAGTGAGCAGGACTTCTGTGACAGTGACTGTATACGCGTAGCCATTTGAGAGCATTTGGAGGAAGAGAGCTGACTCTCCCCACTCTCGACCGTACCAGGGCATTTGGGGGGCAGTAAACTCAATATGTAAGTGGTCTAGTTGGTTAAACGCCTGGCGCGAGACTGATAGGTCCTGGGTTTGAATCTTGCGGAGTGCGACGTCGTGGATGCGCACTGCTGAGAAGTCGCGTACTAGGACGAAACGGCCGTCCAGTGCTTCCAGGTTTAACATAATGGTCTAGCTTCAATTGACTCATGATTCCGATCAAAAAATACTTAAGCACAATGAAAACATACATTTACAATTGAAAATTATAATTTAAAATATACAATAAAGATTATTATTACTTTGGATATCCATTTTAAACCATCTTCAATGATTGTATTTAAAAGTAGTTCAATGTTTAAATTTAAATTTTTCACTGGACTTCGAATGCTATCAGTTGCTTTGGTTTTTAAATTTATCTAGGAACAAAACATAACATAACAAAACATAAATAAGGACTTGACACATATGACATTGATCACCACCCAGTGATCAATCAATTGTAAATACATCTCAGTCCTATAGGAGGTTAGTCACGGCTCGGATAGCTCAGTGGTAACGTCTCTAACTGTAAATCTGAGTGACACGAAATTGAATCTGTCAGGGAGCATCATTTCCCTCAAGATTACAGGTACACCTTGCTGACGAGTGCCAAGTGGTACGAAACCTAGCTCCAGGGTTTCCTGTCGACTACCTCCAACCACCATCTAATCTCAATATATAGTGCCCGAAATGTCGAGTTACCTAGACTAGTGGCCACATTGCAACATGTTCGATGGCATTCGATCTGCACTAAATAAGGACTTGACACACATGACATTGATCACCACCCAGTGATCAATCAATTGTGACAAAACATAAATACATTTACAAATAAATTTGATTATATTTATGATATTATTTTAAAACTGGAGGATCATAAAAAAGAATGAATAAAATTCCTATATTCAAGAAATGATGTATGTAGCATGTCACACTAATCGGAAGTGAAAAACCTGACAGCAGAAGGCTGAGAAGATTGAATTGAAGAAAATAGAAAGGAATCGCGAATTAGAAGAATCATAAAGAATTTGAAGGTCGATTGATAGAAGATTTGAAAATGAAGTATCCAATGTATGATTCTTATATTTTACTAAATAGTTCTGTAATTTTGTATTGAACAACAGATTGGTTTCCGCTAACTGAATCTTGTTCTCTATATATGATTGAAAATCTAGTTATTAGACGAGGGTGGATAAGTGAAATGTGGATCTTTGGGAACTTGGGATTATTATACATATTCGTGTTGTGGATAATTGCCCCCCCCAATGCTCTGGGACGGCTGAGAGTGGAGAGAGTCAGTTCTCCCCCTCCAAATGCTCACACATGGCCACGCATATACAACCACGGACACAAGTACTACTCATTGCCTTCTCGCACAACGGGCGTTGTTTACGAAATTGAGAGGACGAGAACCGAATGTCCGGCCCTTGAACTAGGTTTGTGAATACAGAGGATCCACCTAGGGTAGTTAGAAAACCCTCATTCCAACCCAATGATGCACACGAGTTTCAGTATCCTGAGAGAACAAATGGCATATGAACCAATTTTCGGTCACCGGCTACCATGGGATTGCATCTCCTGAAGTTGCTCCACTTACCTTGTGGATTGGACCTATAGGTCGAAGGCTCTGAGTGTAGCCCTCTATAAAACCACCTGGTTCGGTATGGGTACCCGAGCAGTATCACAGCTCATACACAAATCAAGTTCATTGTGTGGCGCATATGTATTCGGTGGCCCTTTGTACCAATATTTATGTGTTCAAATAAAATATTATTTATTAGGTATTGGGTTGGAGTTCTTTTATATAGCTTTCTATTTTTATTTGTATCACTGACAGATGATAGGTTTTTATCTTTTCATGAATTACATTGAATTAGTTATTTACCACAAATTTGTGGTTTAGTGGCTTAGTTTGTTAAGTCGTTCGATCTTCAGCCACAAAATCCTAGGTCCAAACCCCTATCTATCTAATTTGGTTTTGACAACTGAGCAATATCATAACCACTCGTGTTTATGGTTTAGCTCATACGTAAGTACGTAAATTATATAGTATATTATTGCCACAAATGAATATGTTAATGAAACATTTTGTTAAATGAACTCTCGATTTGATTTCCAAACCTTTTCTAATAACCCCAAACTAAATCTACATAACAACTTGAACAAAAGAGAAAATGTGCGAACTGCGTAAACCTAAAACTGGTTGATAAAAATTTATCAATTGGTTTTGATTTACGAGACTGAGAGGTCCTAGGCCGGGTCGTGGTTGCGCACTGCTGAGGAGTCTCATACGATAACGAAATGGTCGTCCAGTGCTTCCAGGTTTTCCATGGTGGTTTAGCTTCAATTGACTAATGAATTCAACTATTAAATAGTAATTCATTAAGTTACTGTGTGAAGACATAATTGCAATTAGGCATCTATAATTCTTCTTAAAATGTGATGAATACATGTCATACACAGTTGGGAAAAAAGATCAATTTCATGTATCATTCACATCCCAGTTGATTAAACTATTACTCACTACATCAGTTCGCTTACAACCCTGTAATGGTCATGGATATTATTATGGACCGTGGGGTGGCTGACTCTAATTTCTACCGACAGACCAACCTCAGATATCCCAGTACTACTCCAATACTGTTCCGCAATCTCCAATATATCAGAACACAAACCGTAGATGAAATTGTTTATGGGGTCAGGAGAAGAATAAGAATAGGAATAGGAATTATACTTTGCAGACAAATGCATATTTATACAATTAGGACTACCATAAATATTGACCAATAGGAAAATGACACCGTTTCACGTTCAAGGATAACATTAGACTTAACAGAATCATTTTTGGAATATTTTTATGAATATCTCAACAGATATATAATGCTGAATACATTAAATTTATGACAAAGTAGTTATCTTTCAAAAGACAACCCCTTCAAGCTGATGAGAACTATAATTAAAAAGTGAACTAATCTCTATAACCTTAATCATATAAATCAACTATAATTTGACGTAGAGGTTTTATGAATACTATTTTTAATTTGTAGATGTTACTTTGTTATAGACAGTGATCACAGTTATGATGATACCATTGGAAATAAGAAAGTATTATTGGACAGGTATTTCGTTATAGTATTTGTTTATCCGTTTTCTTTTTAGTAGTAAAATAAGGCAAGATTATAATTTATGGACAAATCAATCAGGTATAAGATAACAGGTTTTGGATTGTGGCGCGAAATCCATTCACCAATTTGGATAAATTGAGTTTTGGCATTATAGTTTATGTCAGTTCGTGATGAAAACTCTAAATCTAATTCACTAACCTTAAATATCAACTGTAAATCATAACTCTAATCTTCCATAATATTTCCTATTCCTAATTTGGTCCTAGTTACTAGGTGGAAACTCTCAAGGTCACTTCAGCGCCGCCTAAAGGTTGTCCATAAATTACAGTCTCACCTAATGAAGGAAATAATTAAGTTGTTAGTTTCCATAAGCACGAAATCCACCTAATAATCTATTGCGTAATTTTATTACTATGATATTAAAAAAATATTTAATCAACTGTAAAATTCATTTTACTTAAGCATATGCAAGATATTATAAATAACCTAACTAAACAGATATCAGTTCACTTTATGATCTTAATTAAGACTTAATAGTCTCCATAACCTTATACTGATAATTATCATGTGCTCACTGGTGACTAGCTTCAAAAGGTCATTATCGTAGTTCGAGTGAGAAGTCATGACCAGTGAAGTTCAACCATGTCAGATGTGAATCAGTTACCTATCAAAGAGAATGGAAGATGGTCAATCAACATTGTGGGTTGATTGAAGTTACACATTAACACCACTGAATATAGACTCAATAGTCTGTAGTGACTTAATTTTATCACGAGAACGCGATTAGTTTAATGAAAACAATTATTATTATTATTATTATTATTATTATTATTATTATTATAACCAATTGTACCTGTGCTTGTTTTAATGTGCTTTTGTTTAACTGTGCTAATGACAGACATTTTGTGCTTCCATTACTCTCCATTACTGTTTCGCGGTTCGTGACCTCCTTTGCACGTACTTTCTCCTGCCCACTCCGCTTGTACCTCGGTATTCGTTCGATACTACGAGATCGCCAACGAAATAAACTTGGTTTTAATCCGCATTCGCAATCTGATTTATTTGGCACGTGTTTCTTTGTAGTGGTGTTCATAGTCAACTTGGACTCGACACCACACTACAAGTCTAGAAGTTAAGTGTTAAGTGCACGAAACCGAAGACCCTAGGTCCGAGTTCAGTGTGCGGGGTTGTGGATGAGCACTAGTAAAGAGCCTTAGTAATTCCAGATTTTTAATGTTGGTCTAACATTGATTAAATCATGATTTCAATTAAAATATCAACTTACTTTTATAAACTTATCAAAGAAATAATCTTAGAACCAGTATTGTCAAGATAATTGATTTGTTGTATTCTGTAGAATGCTATTAATAATAGTTTCTTTCTAATATAATACCATCACTTCGTTAATTTGGTTAAAAAGATTAATTGTGTGTGTGGGTGTGGGTGTGTGTGATTTTTCAGTTTCTAAGTCAAGTTTCAAATCTCATTGTATATTAATACTTTACTCATTTTTTTAATGTGTATGATGATATGATGTGCTAATGTTAAGGTTGATGTGTATTAGTACCAGATCCTAAAATGCTGACCAATTGATTGATTAATTAATGGTTATTAAATAATGACTCAAGAAAATAAGCCTTATGAGTTTATTAATCTGAGGTTGTTAAAAAAAAAGTATTCATTAAACTATAATTATTAGAATGGGTTTTGTGGAGAGTTTTAGAAATTTCACAGGTTGAAATCATGAGTCAGTTGAAGCTAGACCACCATTGAAAACCTGGAAGCACTGGACGGCCGTTTCGTCCTAGTATGGGACTCCTCAGCAGTGCGCACCCACGATCCCGCACCACGCGCGGCTCGAACCCAGGACCTACTGGCTTCGCGCGCGAGCACTTAACCACTAGACCACTGAGCCGGTATCCAACGGTGTTAATGTCTAACTTCAACCAATCCACGAAGTTGCGCCACCGTACACCATTGTCTTCAGTGAGTTGTTATCTCACAACAGACCGGTTGAACTCCACTAGACCGGTATATGTAGAAGAAGGTAAAGGTTGATAGGGTATAAACAAAAGAGATATTAAGAAGTGAAGAATGAATTTGATTGCTAAAAAAACGATTTCATGTATTGTTAAAGGTATGAGACTATTTGTCAATTTCCCGTTCCTCGAACAGTGGAACGATACTTAATATTGAGGGACATAATGATGAAATTAAGCCGTATGTTGGTTAAACAACCTGGGAGAATGATTCTAGAGCCTAAACGATAGCTTACTGGGATCACCACTCATAATGCATTTTATGAGTAGTTCCTGATATCTCAGCTCCATACTTTGAAGACCTCATCACCGGAGACGGAAATTAGTGGGATAAGATATGGTGTAGATAGACCTTTTCTGACACTCTACGTTAGTTATGAGAAAGTGCGATCGCTGAAAACGCTGATTATCTTAAACATATTATTGTGGTCATAACCCTGTACAATGAACTGTATGAATACGTCCTCTGACCTTATGGACATACATGGAATAATAAAGCATTAAGGAACGAGTGTTCTAGACAATACAGGTCGATTAGATCACCACTAAATAGAAGCCCAATCACCGCGTTAATGCAGTAGTTGAATTTGATTGATCTGTCGGTGTACTGTGCTTTTACCATTAAATCGATATGCGACACTAAGAAAGTTTGAAGTCTTCCATCCGTCCACCAGAAAAGCATTTCACATAAACAATATGTCTGCACTAAGAAGGACCTGATATACATCACACTGATCACCACCCAGTGATCAATCAATTGTAAATACATCTCAGTCCTATAGGAGGTTAGTCACGGCTCGGATAGCTCAGTGGTAACGTCTCTAACTGTAAATCTGAGTGACACGGAATTGAATCTGTCAGGGAGCATCATTTCCCTCAAGATTATAGGTACACCTTGCTGACGAGTGCCAAGTAGCATGAAACCTAGCTCCAGGGTTTCCTGTTGACTACCTCCAACCAAGTACTTGATAAATGAGTTAGAATAACTAAATACATATGTATGGACAAGAGAAAAAGAGAACAGCTTACAAAAGTTGGTTTCAGTACTTCAGATAAATTGTTTAAATTTGCATCAAAAAGTAATGTACAATGATGATATGCCATATTAGCACCGAATTTCGATGAAGAGCCGGATATTTTTGACATATTCTATAATTTAAAAGAAAAAAATAACAACGATGAAAGTCCTATTCAACAATAAATATACATTAACAGTTAGTAATGTGACTAGGATTCAATTTATAGCTTAGTGACTTTTATCTAACTATTTTTTTAATTAATTGTTAATTGCGCAATAATCAATTGTATTCAGGGTTGAATGTTATATATAGGATAGCTTTCTTGTTGTTATGTTCTCAGTCGTAAAGTAATATAACGTTAACTTCTGTGCAGGGTACTCATCTTTTAGTTAGTAGACAGACATGCCTCCTAGGCCATCATTGACAACAGTTGGCGAAAGCTAATGGAGGTTTAGTCAGACATCAATCTATCCGAGGATTACAAGATTGATGAAGATAAGTGAAGTGGTCAACGTAGTTTAGTACTTAAATTTCTGATTGATCTAGGCGATGACAAAGACGAATCGTGAAGCAACGTTTTGTATTCAAAGAGAGAGAAAAGTAGTACAAATATAATTGGACTGTTGTTCAAGGTGAAAAGAAGACTTTGTATTTGGTTAATCTGTTTACCATACAGAACTATCATCTGGATATTCTATGTTAATAGATGATTCTTTTAGTAGAAGATCCCTGAAAGGTCCAACAAAAACAATATTTCTAGCTAAGGTGAGGAAGGTTTATTATTTATTTAAACATAAATATTGGTACAAAGGGGCACCGAATACATATGCACCACATAATGAACTTGGTTTGTGTATGGGCTGTGATAATGTCCGGGTGCCAAAACAGAACCAGATGGTTTTCTTAGGGGACCACACCCGAAGTCTAATCCACAAGGCAGTGGAGCAACGTTAGTAGATGTAGTCTCATGATAGTCGGTGACCAACAATAGGTCCATATGCCATTTGTTCCCTCAAGATCCGGGAGCTCATGTGTACCATCGGTTTGGAATGAAGGTTTTCCAACTTCCCTAGGTGGACTCTTCGTGTCCACCAACCATGTTAAAGCGCCTGACATTCGCTTTTTGTCCTCTCAATTTTGTAAACAGCACTCCCGCTGTGAAAAGGGAGTGAGTAGGACTTTTGTGGCATTGACTGTATACGCGTGGCTATGTGAAAGCATTTTGAGAGGGAGAGCTGACTCTCCCCACCCTCGGCCGTACCAGGACATTTGGGGGCCGATTCAGATGAATATATTTGATGGTGTTACATTTTCTAAAATAAACGATTTAATTTGAAATATTTTATTGACTCTGTGGACAAAATGCAGCACCTAGTTCATGTAAAAGTGGGCTTCTCAAAAAATTACTCTACAAGCGCTAAATCAGTCCATCCTTATACCCGCGTTAGCGATTGGCTACATTCGCAAAGCTGTTATAATCTCGTTGAATATTTTCTTAGGCTAACCTTTGACTATAGAAGTAATTAAATTTTAGCCGACATTTTAATAGATTGGACTTACGTCGATATGTCAGTTGACTGTAAGATTCAATTTAATCCTGAGTTTACACAACAATAATCTATCTTAATAAAAAATATTTATGCAAGAGAAGATAAGCAAATTAATGACAAAGTCTTTTACGAAGATCACGTATGGACCATTAAAAATCTGGACGACCATTTCGTCCTAGTGTGGGATTCCTCAGTAGCGCGAATCCACAAACCTGAATACAGGAATCAAACCCAGGACCTTCAATCACGCGTGTGAATGCCTAAATTTTAAGTTACTGATCAGAGACCAAGTGATGCACAACCATAATTTTAGATGATCCATGGTATCGCGAGATCATCTTCTATTGTCTTCGATAGGTAACCACCTCGCGAATGGGCACTGCTAAGGAATCCCACACCAGAACGAAATGTTCGTTCACTGCTCTCAGGTTTGGAACAGCTGTCTTAGATCAATCAATTAGTGGACTGAATAAAACTCAACAATCTCGATAAACCTATACTGATAATAAAGTCTTTATCGATCTTATTTGAAAACGAATAAATAGACTATACTGACTGACTAGTTGAAACAGAAATATTCATCGAGTAAACAAAATCTGTGAAATATCTACTCGTTCTATTCGAAATAAATAAGTTAAGTTATGATCTATTCCATTAATTTTGTTTTTATAGTCCCTTCATTTCAACATTCGCATTCTAACCGACGTTAAAGGTTAAGAATCAATCCATGTCTTTAAACACTTTCAACCAAGATAGGTTTACAATCCAACGAATTGATTGATTACAAATGTAGCCAAATAAAGAACTTTAATAAAGTTAACTACATAGTGTCTGGTAAACAAGCTATCTCTGAAATAATTAACGATTATGTAGTCCGATTGATGGCTGGAACACGTGTTACGTATGCCCAACGACCGACTACCTTGACGTGCGATGTTCAGTGGTATAGGAGTAGGTTGGAAGAAAGTTAGGGGCGGCCAGACCAAAACATGGCACAAGTCCATGAAGTCACTGACAAGTGGACTGAGTCATGCTGGTAGGTGTAGACTACCTGGTTGGGGATCGCGAGATGATAGCAACCGATGGTTAGAGACCCTGAATGACATGGCTCAAAATCACTTGCAATGGCTCAGGTGCATCCACTCTTTTTGTTCTTCAAAATTCTAATCTCCTGATTCCTCCTTGTCTCTTTTTTTCATTCGTAATTTATTTCGCTGGATTATACTTCTTGAATAACATCTCCGAACCCTAATGTTTCCGATTGCTGCTTATACTCTTACTACCTCTATCACTACGGAATTTGAATTGACAACTGCATCTCTGTGTTAATGTGGTATGACAACTCGAACTGATGTACGTACGTACGAAGTTCTACGTTGTTACAGACTAACTGACCGATTGATTGTAAAAGTGATATACTTCCCACCTTTTGAGATGCTTATCATGATGTAGAAAAGATCACTGTTGTTTGATCACAAAATAAAATTAAAACTGCAACACTTACTTACTTGCAATGTATTTGTATTAGTTTGATTTTCTGAAATCCACAAATCATATCTATTGCCAATATGTATAGAGCAATTTGAAGGAATTAATAATGGTTGTAAAACCGACTGTAAAAATTCCATACATTTCTGTCTATCCATATAACATCTAGGTTGTATAAATGATATGTTTAAATTACCAAGATCATGATAAACGGCACCACCACCAGAATGACGTCTAGCTAATTTCCAACCATTAGAATGTAACAATGGAATGTTCACTTCTTTCCAAGCATTTTGAAATCGACCAATTACAATACAAGAATTACTACGCCATAATAAGATTTTTGTAAACCATGATGGTTTATCCTTTAAATATTTCAAGTGTTTCTCACTTTCATGATATAAACATTCTTCAAAAGCTAAATTTCGATAGATATCATTAGAATTTAAAATCAATATTTGACTTGATGTATTAAATGGATAAGAAGTTGTCAAGGAAACTTGATAAGATTTTATAATTCGGAATAGAATTGGTTTAATTATAACACCCATATAATTAGATATGATATGTATATACATATAAATTATCCGTACATTTCTAAGGAAAATGATTTTTAAAAAAAAGATTCAAACATAGTAGTCTGTTAAAGAACATAATCTATCAGTAAACAAATATACTTAACAATGTCAAAATTAAGGTGTGACAAAAAGTGGAGTACTAGGACGGAACGGCCGATCAGTGACCAGTGCTTCCAGGCTTTCCATGGTGGTCTGACTTCAATTGACACATAACCTCAATTATTTAAAAAAATGTACTAGCCAAACATCTAGGGAACACTGGATAACTGTTCAGCTTCACACACTCACATAGACAAACACGATAAACTAATCCTTATACGTAATTCATCCGTTCAGTGATAAGCAAGCAACATACAACTTGATAAATATGTGTATCGGTTGTTGAACTACAACAGCACAGCGGGAAGTTCATCAAACAACTTTCCTGACCTTAACAACTAGTATAATAATCGACACACTAACATACACAGTATTCAATATAAATCAACTAAGACGAATCCAACACAATCTCAGTGACCCAACAACTGTAATTTATCTTGTCCCAACTTATACAAAATCTAGGAAATCTAGTCACAACTTCCTGTCAATTCCCTTCATATACTTTACATCAAAATAGAATATAGGTGATGATGAGACTTTTAAGTTTACTGGTCACACATCGATGCAATAATCCGAAGCGCACACAATAACGACGAAGGAAGAACAGCATTATTCACCTACTACTCAGTGATCAATCAGTTTCAAAGATTTCCAGTCAATATGTATTTACTTAATTTCATCTACATTGGTTTATAGTTTAAACGGTTGGGATTCATTATTTAGAAAGAGAATACAATTTAAAACAAACAGCAAACATGCACAAAATTGAAGTCGTTAACGTGAAGCATGAGTGAGATGATCTATTCACTATTAGGCAAATCTCAAAACTAAGACAGAGCAAACGTTAATATTCACGAAACCCCTTCTGATAAAAATGGAGTAATTAATTTGTTACCAACAAAGTTTGGTTGTTTATATGACACAAACTGAAAAAAACTTAACTTGATAAGGAGAATAATATACAGTGAATAGTAGTTCAATTATTACATTCTCTTAATGAATCAATGATAAATAAATATTTTAAGGATTAGTAGAGATTGTACTATTTTCAAAGTTGAATTCACGATGACGAAACGACCGTCCAGTGCTTCTATGTTTTTTCAATGGTGGTCTAAATTAGATTGATTCGTGAATTCAACTTTGAAGATAAATAAATAGTTTGAATAGGGACATAAACATTATCCTTTCCTTACGTCTGTTACCTTTCATGATATATTCATAACCGTTGGTGTCCATTCTGACTTTGGCGTTTAGATCTCTCATCAGGATTATCAGGTCCTGTCCTGGGAACTTCACTGTGATCAATTGCAGCCTCTCGTAAAACTGATCTTCAACGTCGTCATTGCTATTATTGGTGGGTGCACACAACTAGATAACATTCATTGTTATTCCCTCCTTTTTTCTTTTGAAGAACGCTTCAATGATTCTGGATCCATTAGACTCCCATCCAATAAGTGCATTTTGTGCTTTTTGGACAGCATCAGAGCAACCCCGTGAGTGTGTTGAGCATTTTCCTCTTCGTGATTGAAGTACAGCAGTATCTCTTCCGTACCTAACCCTTGCTGTCCAGCTTGGATCCAATGGATTTCACTGATTCCAAGAACTACAAAGTTGTATATCCTCATTTCCGTTGCTATTTGATCAGTCCTCCCGGTCTCTCACATTGTTCAAACATTATATGTACCTATATTAACTGTTGCTCTGGTTGTTAGAAGGGCCATCAACTTCGTGACTTCCGAAGAATCTCGGCTTCCATCATGAGGCGTCATAATCCCACCTTCAACTCGGAGGGAAGAGTTTAAGTGGTTTAATTTGTTTATTCTGGTTAGTGTTTTTTAGCAAGGTTGTTTTCCACGAGATGGGGTTGCCGACCCTATACCCAATCCTCTTCCTTTACCCGGGCTTTGAACTGGCAGTAACCCTAGAAGAGCTACAGGCAGAGTTCTCACCATTATAATTGAATAATAAATATAACGATGTAAGTAATTTGTTAACTTTTTGATTTGTGGCCAATGAAAGTAAAATGTAATTGGCCACTGAATGTCGGAAACAGACACTAAATTTATTATTAAATATGTGATTTCTTTCCTATTATTGATTTGTACTCTAGACTTAATGGGTGTTGAACTGCTTGTATTTGCGCTGAATAAATCTACTTTGGTTTTCCCTATTTAGCCTGCCTATAACCTATCGATCGATTCTAGTAGTAGTTTAATCTTTTTTCCAGGTCGTATTATCGTAGTAGTATCGTGGAGAAAAGGAAATTCGTTTTTATTTGGCGTTATATTACTTCTGATTCTTCAACAACTGTTACGTTACTAATAGGTCTATTTGTAATAACCAACACAAGGTTTGACATAAATTTTATGTGATTTGTCTTGATTATTATCATTTCGCTCTATAAATGTGATGTGGTAACTTGAATTGACACAAATATGTACCAGGTTATACGTTGCATACGAATGACTGATTGGCATAAATATTCATTGGTCCACGTCACTACACTAACCATAGGATGAAGTTAACATGAATACCTAAGGAGTTGAAAGAATTGTAGTGGTACGGCCGAGGGTGGGGAGAGTCAGCTCTCCCTCTCAAAATGCTCTCAGATGCCCACGCATATACAGCCACTGACAGAGAAGTTCTGCTTACTGCTTTTTCATGATGGGGGTGTTGTTCGGCGCTTTAACCCGGTTGGTGGACACGGAGGGTTCACCTAGGGGAGTTGGAAAACCCTCATTCCAACCCAATGATGCACACGAGTTTCAGTATCCTGAGAGAAAAAATGGCATATGAACCAATTTTCGGTCACCGGCTACCATGGGATTGCATCTCCTGACGTTGCACCACTGTCTTGTGGATTAGACCTTTACGTCGAAGGCTCTGGGTGTGGCCCTTTATAAAACCACCTGGTTCGGTCTGGGCACGCGAGCAGTATCACAGCTCATACACAAATCAAGTTCATTGTGTTGCGCATATGTATTCAGTGGCCCTTTGTACCAATATTTGTGTTCAAATAAAAATTTAAAATATAAAGGTTATGAATGTGAGAAAAACTAAACAGTGAGAGTATGGTTCAAGAACACGTAAAGGAAATGCACGTATGAAGGAGCATCAGGAACCAACATTAAGAGGAAGTCAAGGAGTGAGCGCGCCACTGTGAGCAATCCTGAGCTGTATCACTAAACGTCTTATAACACTGATTGTGGTTACCTCACGAAATATAAACCTTTTGGTTTACAGTATCTAAACCATTATAGCCAAGTTAGGCAAATACTATAAAGAGAAGTGGAGTCTTTTTGGTCATCTTCAGGAAGAATTTAAACACATTTAAGATTTTGTGTCATACTGACCGTGTGAAAAAGTAAAGTCGTACAGTTCAGTCAGTCAGTCAGCCACAACGTAGGACCAGGCACATATATGCATCGGTCCAAGTTGCCATACCTCATTAACACAAGATGGACACCGGATTCATATAAGTAGTTAATTCAGAGGTGGTAATATATAAAAGAAGGATTGCAATAAGGATATAGTACAGGAAGAAAGAATTAGTTCGTAGAAAGAAAGATATGGAGCGATTTTAATCTCTTAGTTTAAGAGAAGACAGAGAGTGTATACACCGACGCCATTGTGATCGATTCTGAGCCATGTCACCAAGAGTCTCCAACCACTGATTACGATAGTCACGCGGACCCCAACCAAGTAGTCTGCATCTACCAACATGGCTCAGACTAGAAGTTAGTGACTTCAAGCATTGATGCCACGTTTTGGTTTGGCCGCCCCTAACATTCTTCCAACCATCTCCAACACCGGTTAGCATTGCACGTCGTGGTAATCGGTGTTCGGGCAGTTGGTGGGTTATGGTTAGTGCAGGAAACTTATGGGGACAGAAAAACTAGTTTAACTCAATATGGAATTCTAGATGTTATCAATTTCAAAATAACGTAATCGTTGAATATATGTAACAGTATGCTAGATTCGTCATTGTCTTTGATAGGATTACAAATTGAACAAAAGATTTACAATTAGTCGAAAGTGGGTTCACAACCTTATCTATTGAAAAACTAGTAAATAGTATGTCGATTAAGCAAGTTGTTTTGAAAATATTATAATCAATCTTTCAAATTCGTTCAACATGAACTTATCAGGGAAGAATATTACCCGGAGAGAGGCGACACACAAAACATTCATCGTAATTAAAATAGTCCAAATATGACAGTGAACTAAGATATAAATACATGAGAAACATTCACTAAATGATACAATGGCCGAGTGATAAGAAGAGATTGTCAACAGACAGACTAATAAATAGAGTAGTAATTCATAATTATAGAATTCACGAGGTTCAGTTTGCACATAAGGCTTAAATATTTCTCTTTAATGGAAAAGTACAAAAGTTAACAACTATGATATAGTACTGATAGCACCAAGACAACTTGAAGTCTCTTATACAATTAAAGCTAACGACTATCAGCCACATAGACTGGTGTTATTGACGTTATCAAACACAACTCTAACATGCCAGGAATCATCCTGATTAATCACTAAAACACACATCTTCACTCATGTTAATCAATATACAAGTTGATTAAGATCACGAACCGATCTAAGTTAAACAACCACTGATAACCTAGAAGCACTAGACCACTGTATTGTTCTAGTACAGGACTCCTTAGTAGTGCGCATTCATGAATCGAACCCAAGAAATTCAGTCCCAATCGTGAACGTTTAGCCTCTAGACCACTAAACTAGGACCCAATGGTAGATAAGTCTAACTTCAATCAATTCACGAAATTGCACGACCATCTTTGATTGGTTCATGATCCCATAAAATTCAACAATCTGTACAACCCCCCCATATCAATCACAAGTTTACAACTTGATTACAGTTTCATCAAGTAAAAACAAAGTTGTTAACTAT